CCCCATTTCCCCCTTCTTCTCCCCCATGGTCCTCCGTTAAGTTCTTCCTAATCCTCCTATACGTGCAAACATATGGTATCTGTCCTTCTCTGCCTTACTTATTTCACTCAGCATAACACCCTCAAGGTCCATCCGTGTTGCTACACATGGCCAGTGTCATTCTTTCTCATTGCCATGTAGTATTCCATCGTATAGATAAACCACATCTTGATCCATTCATCTGTTGATGGACACTTCGGCTCTTTCCATGTTTTGGCTATTGTCTCAACCACATTTTTAATACTAGCTCCATTTAAAAACTAAAATCCTTAAAAATATAACATTTATGACTGTACCAAAATATTAAACATTAAAAATCTATATGGTAATGCCACATAAAAAATTGTAAAACATTACTGAAATTAGAAACCTTAATAAATGTAAAACACTATCTCTCCATTGATTGGCACATATAATAATTGTTAAGATACTAGTTTGCCCTACTTTTATCTTTAAATTCAGTATAAGAACAATCCAACTTTTAGCACATTTATTTTTTAGTTTGTTTATTTACTTTGAGAGCAACAGAGAAAGAGTGCAAGTAGGCGAAGGGTGGGGGTGGGGGGGTAGAAGGGAGGAACAGAGGATCTGAGGCTGGCTCTGTGCTGACAGCAGAGAGCTTAAACTCACGAACCGTGAGATCATGACCTGAGCCGAAGCCATACACTTAACTGACCGAGCCACCCAGGTGTCCCAGCAAATTGTTTTTGTTAGAAACCAATATGCTGGTCTGAAAAGTTATACTGAAACACAAAGAATCAAGAATAGTCAAAATATTCTTTAAACAGGAAGAAGAGAATGTACTCTACTAGATATCAAGATTCATTACAAGGCTATTGCAAAAGTTTAGTATGTTAAAAAGCACAATTAGGACAAAGGTGCAAAAGAATACAGAAATGGATCTATGCATATATAACTCTTAATTTATGATTAATAGCACACTCAACAGCAATGGGGGGAAACCAATCTTTACCACAAAAGATGGTGGGTAAAATCCATACGGTGAGTAGTATCAGCAAAACTGCAGAAAAGGATGCCTCAGCTCATTCCCCTAGAGAAATACTGACTTTTAAATAACAACATGAAATCAAAAAGCCTTTATGAGAATACCAAAGATGAGGTAAGAAAGCAGTATACCAGGAAAGTTCAAAGCCAAGTACAGTCATAATGAAAGGAGTAAGAAAAGCTTATTTCATTTCAATCACACCAGTGCCTTCCCCAAGGCAGCACAGCACAACACTGGGGGTGGGGGGACCCGACCTGCAGCTTCTCCATCGGAAAGGAAAGAGAAGAGGGGAATGTGTGTCCAACATTCTGGATGACAGGCAGGTAGAGGAGGCCAGGGGCCAGTGTCTGTCTTGGCTGTCTCAGCATTGATAAAACTTGACAGAACAAAAGAGGGCGGCTTTCTTGCAGCATCGCAGACAGGATAGGGAGCGGAATCTCTCTAACTAGAAATGACACACACAAGACCAGAGAAGATGCATCCTCAAAGAAGTTTAAGGGGCCTCCAGAATCTATAGCTGGGCTGACGGTGAAGACCTTCCCCTACAAAAGGCCAGTCTATAAAGACCAGGAGAGATGGCTTTTTTTTCCTAGCAAAAATCACAACAATAAAATAATAAGGCACACAAAGATATAGTGTAACAGCCCAAAGAAACAAAATTAACCTTCAGTAACTGACCCTAACATGCAGATCTATGAACTGCCTAAGAAAAGAATTCAAATTAATCATACTAAAGAAGCTCAACACATTACAAGAGAACACAAATAGACAACTAAATGAAACTAGGAAAACAATGCATGAACAAAAGGAGAATATCACCAGTGAGGTAAAAACTGGAAAATGAGTCAAATAGTAATTTTAGACATGAAGACTGTAATAATGACATTTACAAATTTACTAGAGGGGATCAACATCAGGCTTGATCAAGCAGAAAGAAGAATCAGCAAACCTGAAGACAACTCATTTGAAATTACTGTGTCAGAGGAACAAAAAGGAAGAATGAAGAAAAGTGAAGATAACCCTAAGGGACTTCTAGAACACAACAAACTGAGCAATATATATGGAAGTTCCAGATGAAGAAAAGAGAGAAGCAGAGAGTTTGTTTGAAAAAGTAATGGCTGTAAATCTTCCAAATCTTCCCAAAGAAAATGGACAGCCACACAAGAAGACCAAAGTACTCTAAACAGGATGAGCCCAAAAAGGCACACACTAAGACATATTATAGGCAACCTGTCAAAAGTCAAAAAGAGAATCTGGAAAACAGCAAAGGAAATGTGAATCATCACGTACCAAGGAGCTCGCCATAAGATCAGTGGATTTCTCAGCACAAGCGGTACAGGCTAGAAGAGAACGGGATAATATATTCAAAGTGCTGAAGGAAAACAAAAATAAAAACAAAAATAAAATAAAAACAAAAAAACCAAAAAACCCTGCAAACCCAGAATACTATATCCAGGAAAAGAAAAGAAAGAGAAATAAAGACCTGCTTGATAAACAAAAGTTGAAGGAGTCCATCACCACAAGATCTGCCTCCCAAGAACTACTAAAGAGAGTCCTTCAAGTTAGAACAAAAAGTACTAGATAGCAACACACTCAAGAATAGAAAAATATAAAGGTCTTGGGGCACCTGAGTGGCTCAATCAGGCAAGCGTCTGACTTTGGCTCAGGTCATGATCTCACAGGTCATGGGTTTGAGCCCCACGCTGGGTTCTGTGCTGACAGTGCCAAGCCTGCTTCAGAGTCAGTATGTCTCTCTCTGCCCCTCACCAGCCTTTACTCTCTCTCTCTCTCTCTCTCTCTCTAACAATAAACATTAAATTTTTTAAAAAATATATAAAGGTCTCTGGGAAAGGTGAATATACAGACAACTACAAAAATCTATAATCCTGTCAACATGATATGTAAATCGCTTTTAATTTGGGCATAGAATTTAAAGGATAAAAGCATTAAAAATTACTACAACGCTAAGTCAATGAACACAACATAAAAAAGTTGTCATCTGTGCCAGTGACAAAGTGGGGGAAGGAGGAGCACCCAGGAGGCTCAGTCCATTAAGTGTCCAACTCTTGATTTTGGCTCAGATCACAGTCTTACAGTTCTTAAGTTCAAGCCCCACACTGGGCTTGCACTGACAGTGTGGAGTGTGCTTTAGATGTTCTCTCTCCCTTTCTCTCTGCCTCTCCCCGGCTCATGTTCTCTCTCCCTCAAAATAAATAAATAAACTTTTAAAAAATAAAGTGGGGGAAGGATGTAAATGGACTAATTTTTGTGTGTGACTGAAGTTATCATTTTAAGATAAACTGTTATAACTCTTAAGATACTTTGTGTAATCCTTATTTTAATGAAAACATCTATAGAAGATGCACAAAAGAATCAAAGGATGTCACTACAAAGAAAAAAGACAATCAATGAAAGATAAAAACAACAAGAGTAATAAAATCATTGTAAGAAACAGAAAAAAAATTGGTAAAATGGCAATAGAAAGTACTATTCCTTAGTTCTTAACAGAAAGTACTTTAGGTAAATGGTACACTACCAAGTGGGAAGTTTATAGCAGTAAATACTTACATTGAAAAAAAACAAACAAAGATCTTAACCAAAAATTTACACTTCAAAGAACAAAACAACAAATTAAACCCAAAGTTAGAAGAGGAAAGAAATAATAAATACCAAAGCAGAAATAAAGGAGATGGAAGATAAAAAATATCAATGAAACTGTCAGTTTTTTATTTTTTTAATGTTTATTTATTTTGAGAGAGACAGAGAAAAAACAAGTGGGGGAGGGGTGGAGAAAGAATCCCAAACAGGCTCCTGAATCTTATGAATTCTGATATTATGACCTGAGCCAAATCAAGAGTTGGACACTTAACTGAGCCATCCAGGTGCCCCCACAAAGTTCGTTTTTTAAAAAGATCTTCAATATTGACAAACTCTTAGC